AACAAGAATAAGAGCAAGCATAAGAACAAGAACAAGAAGAACAAGAAGAAGAACAATAAGAACAAGAATAAGAACAATAAGAACAAGAATAAGAGCAAGCATAAGAAGAAGAACAAGAATAAGAACAACAAGAACAATAAGAACAAGCACAAGAATAAGAACAAGTTGGTTTGTTTTCTCTGACAGTTTTTTAAATGTAGCTTTATCTGATTTATTAGGATAAAGATAAGAAAACTGCAAAGATCAGTTAAATAAATAAATAAATAAAAACTCGTAATATTTGTAAAGTTTCATATTTTGCCACCTTTAAGTCCGACTTCTTTTAGAAATTGTCAGAATGTGTCACAACTTTAAATTCTGCCTGTAAAATGTCTGCGGAGTGAAACCACGCAACAGTTTGTGTTTAAAGAACGACGCAGGGCGCGTTTGATTTTTCACATTTTACTACAAAACCACCGTAGAGGACAAATATTCAGATATTAAAATAGTTCTTCTAAGCTTTATGAACTGAGGACAGTCCAGAGAGTAAACAAAAACAAACATGATCGCAGCAACACTGTTTGGTAACAAACGACAAACAGAATCATGAGGAGTTTAATATTTTCTGTCTTTACAAATAAAATACCGAAGGAAAACAAAAATAAAAACGTTCTCCAGTTCTACGGTCCAGTGCATTTCTTTACAAGTAGTGTTCTGTTTACATTTCATTTGATACTTTATTTAAAATAAAAAACTTCATTTTTCTTTTTCCAGACGAAGTTCTGGCAGCTACTTTCATTCTCACAAACACATAAAACTGTGCCGGTACCGTCTGATCCGATCCACTCGGAGGTGGCGGGCGAGGAGATTCGTTTATACACGTAAACACGGAGCGTCCACGATGGGTCCAGTTCAGGGCTTGGTGATGTGGACCTCGCTGGTGCCGCTGCTGTTGGTGGTGGCGGTGATGATGTACTGCGTGGTGGGCGTCTGACCGGCGGGCTGCTGGTCCAGGTGCTCGGCCTGGTTCTGGGCTGCGCTCTGAGGGGCCGCCTGCTTCGTCTCCAGCTCGCTCTGACCCTCAGAGATGACGTAGTGGGTCTGGAGGCACAAGAAGGTTTCACTGCATTAAAAACAGTTCTGGTTCTGTTCCGGACTCAGGAACACTTCCACAGATCACGTAAACACAGCGTCATCCACAAACTGATTAAAGCTCTATCAGGCAAAGAAGCCACCGTATGTGGACACTATCCAGAACCGCTGCCGTCTTCACGGGACCAGAGCTCGTTTGAAATGGACCGAGTCAACGTGGAGGACGGTTCTGTGGTCAGACGGATCCACATGTGACATTTCTTCTTAGAAACTGGGGCGCGACCATCCAGCCTGTTATCAGCACACAGTTCAAAAGCCTGCCTCTCTGATGGTATGGGGGTGCATTAATGGCTCTGACATTGAGCAGCTTACACATCTGGAACGGCTGCATCGATGCAGAAAAGTGTCTACAGGTTTTAGAGCAACACAACAAAGAGCCAGGACTGTTGGACAACTAGAATCTTAGAGGGGACAAAAATGAGACCACATCCCCCAAAAACTGCAGCAGCTGGTCTCTTCAGTCCCTGGACGTTTATAAACCGAGGGGGTTGTTTGCGGTGGTCAACCTGGTCCTGCACCAAGTCTTTCTGGACTGTGGGTCAGTTTTCAGCACTTCTCAGTCTCAGTCGGGACAAACAAAAATGAGCCGACTCACCGTCTTCACCTGGTTGCTGCCGACTCCAGACACGGGCGTGCTGGCCTCAGCGATCACATACTGAGCATGAGGTAGAGCCATCATCTGGATCTCAGACGCTGGAGCAGAAAGAGGATCACAGTTAATCCTCACGCAGCACAGACCACCAGGTCCGACCATGACTGAGACTCACGGTAGCCTCGGTAGTTCCAGTTCCCGGGTATGTAGGCGGCGTGCTGCACGGCCCCCGGCTGCTGGGTGCTGTTGGCCTGCAGGGTGTGACTCTGAGCTAAGGTGACGGGGGTCAGCTGGGCTGGGCTCAGCTCCTGACTGGGCTGCTGGGAGGCCGGGCTCAGAGGCTGACTGGTGACCTGAGACAGAGACGAGGAAGATGAAAGGTGAGGAGCGGCGCCGGTCGAGCGCTAAACAAACCAGATGTGAGGGTTTACCTGAGAGGCACCTGGAGCCGAGCCCGAGGGCTCAGAGACCTGGATGTGCTGGACCTGGATGGAGTGCTGGCTGTAGCTGTGAGGATCGTGCAGCTGACTCACGTCCACCGTCGGAGGCTGGGAATGCTGGGAGGACGCCTGCGGACAAACAAAAGTTAAGATTTAACTTTGATTTTTATGTCCAGTTTGGCCACTTTGAGTTCTGCTGAATGGCTGCTGAGATGAAATGAGTTCAAAACAGAAAACTATGACTTACCAAACTCCGACTAACCTTTTACTTATCAAACTCTGACTTGAACTCCGACTTAAACTCCAACTTAAACTCAGACTAACCTTTCATTTATCAAAGTCTGACTTAAACTCTGACTTACACTCCGACTAACCTTTTACTTATCAAACTCTGACTTAAACTGTGACTTAAACTCCAACTTAAACTCAGACTAACCTTTCATTTATCAAAGTCTGACTTAAACTGTGACTTACACTCCAACTTAAAACTCTGACTAACCTTTTGCTTATCAAAGTCTGACTTGAACTCAGACTTAAACTCCAACTTAAAACTCCGACTAACCTTTAGCTTATCAAAGTCTGACTTGAACTCAGACTTAAACTCCAACTTAAAACTCCAACTAACCTTTTACTTATCAAAGTCTGACTTAAACTCAGACTTAAACTCCAACTAAAAACTCTGACTTAAACTCAGACTAGTCTTTAACTTATCAAACTGACTTAAACGCCAACTTAAATGCCGACTTAAACTCTGACTTATCTTTTACTTATCAAAGTCCAACCTGACAAATTCTGACAAACTCTTTAAGTCCGACTTATCAAAACTTGTATTACCAAACTCCGACTTGAGTCCAAATTAAACTCTGACTTATCAAAGCCCACCTTAAAGTCCGACTTAAAGTTTGACTTATGAAACTCCGTCATATAAAAATCTAAATGATCAAAGCCTAACTTAAACTTCGACTTATCGAAGTCTGACTCATCAAACTCTAATTTGTGGGTTTTCTGAAGAAATATAAAATATATAACAAATATATTTTCAAAAATTTAATTTTCAGCTTAATTTTGGCTGAATGACTGTGCTGATGAAGCTGAAACCAAGCTGTAAAACCTATGAGGCAGAATGCTAGCTAAATGTAACATAAGGCTAAAAGTAGAAGAAGACTAGCTAAAAAAATCTAAAAGTAGGAAAATGTTAGCTGAAAGCATCAAGTTTAGCAAAAGTGTAAAAGTAGCTAAATGTTAACTAAAAGCTAAAAGTAGCAAGATTGGCTAAAACATTATTAAAAGTAATTATTTAACTATTAAGTTATCAGGTGCTGGATGACTGAGAATCTACATCAGCTAGCTAAAAGTACCAAAAGGTTAGATAATTGCTAAAGATAGCAAAATGTTAGCTAAAATCTAAAAGTAACAAAAAAAAAAGGCTAGTTAAAAGATACAAGTAGTAAAGTCTAGTTAAAATTATCAAGACTAGCTAAAAGCTAAAAATTGCTAAACTATTTAATAGCTACAAGTAGTAAAACACTAGCTTAAAGCAGCAAAAGGTTAGGTAAATCCTAAAAGTAGCAAAACATTAGCTAAAAGCGAAAATTAATAAGACTAGCTAGAAGCTAAAAGTAACAAAAAGTTTGTTAAAAGTAGGAAAATGCTAGCTAAATCAGCAAAAGATTAGCAGAAATTTAAAAATAGCAACAAATGGTAGCTAAATAAATACATAAAGAAGCCTAATAGCCAAATGGTAGGTAAAAGCTGCAAGTAGCAGAAGACAAAAACAGCAGATCTCAAGGAGAATAATGTTTTTGAATGAACTGAAGAGCTCTCAAAGGGAAAATATGTGTAAATAAAAATAAATGTTTTGAAAATTATATTAATTTTTTTTTTTAAACCTACAAAAAACCCAGTTTCAATTGCCCGAATAAGCCGAACATTTTTAAAATAACTAACGACTAAAATAACACAAATGACGATGAGGTGAAAACAGGCGAACGATGATAAAGTGACCGCCGAATCAGCACGATAAATTAAAAATAAATCGTCTCTTTTTTGACTCACCGGCGCGACCTGGACCACCTGCAGCTGGATGTGCTGCGGCTGCGACAAACCGCCTCCAGCCTGAGACACCGGGATGTACTGGATCCTCTGGTAGTCTCCCTGCGCCGTTCGGTAGTCCGTGGTCAACGTCTGAGACAGTTCTGTCATGGCCTGGGTCAGCAGATCCGTGGTCTGTAGAGGAAGAACGTCACGCCGGTAAAAACACAACAATAACACATGACCACCAACATTTGGACCCTAACGAAACGATAGCCCCGTCCTCACCACGACGGCCTCGGCTGTGGCTCCGTCTGCGCTGATGACCGGAGCAGAACTGATCACGGCCGTGGTGAGAGGAGTCTGGATGGCGTTGGCCAGCTGGGTGAACTCCGGGTGCTTCTTCCTGATGTGCTGCACCATCTTGGTCTGTCGAAGAAAACAACGTTTCATCACAAACTACGGCGACGTTGAAAACCAGCCGAGTTCAGCGAAGTGCGGCTTACCTTGCTGCTGTACTGCTTGGCGCAGTGTGGGCAGCAGACCGGCGCCGTAGCGATGGTACCGGTCAGCTGGGTGTGCGTGCTCAACATGGGGTCCGGCTCCCCGGGGGCGGCGGGACGCAGCTTCCGGATGCTGGGGGGTAGCTCTGCTCCGGGATGGTTTTTCAGGATGTGAGCTTTCCGTTTGCTGGCGCTTTTATACACCTGCAGAGAAAAGTTAGTTCCACGATGGAGCAGCCGAAGGCAGACGGTACCGACGAGAGGGGAACGGACCTTATCACAGTACTGACAGAAGTAATCCCGGTTCGGTTTGATGATCGGAAGCGTCAGCTCCGGAACGTCGTCGATTCGCATTTCAGGGTGACGCTTGGACAAATGATTCACCTGCAAACAGAAAAACAGCTAAAACGACTGGAGTTTAAAACCAAACTGGAGAAGATAAACCTGCAGCTGAGAGCTGGATGATGACAGCTGAAGAAGCTGAAGCCGAGTTCTTAAAGATAAAAAAGCAGAAACCTAGCTAAAACTAGCAAAAAACTAGCTACAAGTAGCTAAAGGCGAAGTAGAAGAAGCAAATGCTGAAAGTAGTAAAAGCCTAGCTTAAAAGCTAAAAATTGCAGAATGATAGCTTACAGCAAAAAATAGCAAAACTTTAATGAAAAGCTAAAAAGTAGCAAAACGCTAATTAAAAGCTAAAAGTAGCAAAACGCTAATTAAAAGCTTAAAAGTTGCAGAATGGCAGCGAGAAGTAGCAAAATGCCAGCAAAAAGCTAAAAGTCGTAAAAGGCTAACTAAAAGCCAAAATTATTAAGAGGCTATTGAAAGGTACAGTAGCTAAATGTAGTAAAAAGCCAGGCGGAAGCCACAAACACCAAAAGGCTAAATAAAAGCTAAGAATAACAAAAGCTAGCTAAATGCTCAAAGAAGCAGAAGGCTAGCTAAAAGTGAACAGTGGTGGAATAGTAGGTAAAAGCTTGAAGTAGCAAAAGTCTGACTAAAAGCTAAAAGTTGCAGAATGGTAGTTTACAGCAAAAATAGCAAAGCTTTTATTAAAAGCTAAAAGTAGCAGAATATTAGCTGAAAGCTAAAAGTGGCATAAAAGGACAAGAACGAAGCCGGTGAGCTTCGAGAACAAAGTTTTTGAAGGAATCAAAAGATCCCAGCATCTTTCAACAGGAAAATATTTGTAAATAAAGTTCAATATTTTCTAAAGTTGCAAAAGCCAGAAGTCATGGCACCAATCAGCCGAAGGAGCTGAATGTTTTGACACATATGTGGTTAAACAGAAAAATGTAAACAGGAAATGACACGACTCTGCGTTACACAATAAAAGCATCAGAGCTGCGGCTCACCAGCATTCCTCTGCGTCGGAATCCCATCATGCACGGCCGGCATTTGAACGCAAAGCTCTCGAAGTCGGAGGTGGGGGTCTTCGTCTTGTGGGTCTTGGAGCGGTGCGTCCGGTCCGACTTCTTGGCTTCTCTGTCTGGATTGTGCATGCGCTGCATGTGCTCCCGCAGCTTATCTTTCCTCTGAATTTCACAATAAAACAAGAAAGATCTCGTAGGAGTTACGCTCTCCGTAGAGGAACGCTGTAACCGCGTTCGTCTGCCGCTCCCCTCACCTTGAACTGCTTGCCGCACGTCGAGCACAGGAAGTCCTTGCGGTCAGAGTGGCGCAGCATGTGCAGGCGCAGCTTGTCCGGGCGGCAGAAGGTCTTCTCGCAGTTCGGACACTGAAAGCTCTTCTCCGAATGGAAGCAGCGGATGTGCTTCTTCACCTACGAGAGAAGCAGAACTCTGAACCCTCCAGCTTCGTGTGAAATCCACAGCTGTCACCATCTGTCCTACTGACCTGGATGAAGTCTGTAAACGTCTTCTTGCAGGAGGGACAGGTGAAGCAGCCGTCCACAGAATGGACCTCCACGTGGTCCTTCAGCAGCTCCAGTCTTTCGAAAGTCTCGGGACACAAGAGGCAGGAGTAGAAGCGGTTGTCCGTGTGCTCCACCAGATGGTCCTCCAGGAACGAGTCGCTCAGGAAGCTCTTGCAGCAGATGTGGCAGGAGAAGGTGTAGGCGTCGCGACCGTGGACCCGCAGGTGCAGCTCCAGCTTGTCTTTTTCCCGGAAGGCCTTCCCGCACAGGGAGCATTTGAACGGACGGAAGCTCTTCCTGATGAAGAGGTGCTGCAGCGCCGCGTTCTGACCCGGAGAGAAGAAGAACAGAGTGAAGCGCGGCCGTCAGACGAGGAGCAGCTGAAGCAGAAGAAAAGCTCAGTCTTTTTGCCTTTTTACCCATGATCCTCCAGGCTTCACCTACCTGCTCATCCGTCTGTGAGGGAGGCTCGCATTGAGGAAGAGAGACACATCGTTTTAAAATCAAACTTTATTTATAAAGCACTTTTAAACACAAAGTGCTTCAGACAACGGCAAAACTAAATCGGATTAAAAAAAACAATCCTCAGAAGGTCTCACGGAGAAAAATCACTAATACGTTTACGGTTGTTTTTATTTTGTTTTTTTTAAGTCAACAAACCCAGCTGTTCCTGACAAGGTCTAATAATACTTTTACTTTTTTTATTTTAACTGTGTCAGAATAGTTTCCAATGCTCCTGTAACTTCACGGGAACTGTACTGCCCTCTAGTGTTCCTTAAGGGAAAACATCGACCACGTAGAAATTCATCACAGGAGTTGCTCGATACTTCTTCACGGTTCGACTTTTGCTGACTCACTGTTTCGTGGGGTTTTGATGCAAGATTGTACGTGACACACGATTGGCTGACTGATTGAAGGCGACCAACCAGAGCGTTGTGCTGAGGGGTGGACTGGCCATCGGGAGCACCGGAGCACGCAGGCACACAACAGGCGGGCGCGCAACCTGTTGTGTGTCTTTGATCTGCTGTTGCAGCCTCAGAAAGAGAAAGGAGGGGGTGGGGGCCTCAGAAAGAGAAAGGAGGGGGCGGGGGGCTCAGAAAGAGAAAGGAGGGGGCGGGTGGTCTGTCTTTCCCCCATCGCTACTGCTCAGGAGCTTCAGTGAGGCGGATACCTGAGTCAGCGGCATGAATCGTTTATTTAAAATAATCAAGCACGACCCGAACCAAACAGAGTCCAGCTCCCGGGCCAGGCCACCGGGATTTGTTCCGGTGCTCTCGATGGCCAGTCCGCCCCCGGGTGCTGATTGGCTCAGTAACTGTAGCATCAGCCCGTCTGCTCTTTTTCGCTGTGCTCGTTCAGAACATTTAGAGTTTAGAACATTTAGAGTTTAGAACATGGCAAGAGTGTGAGAAGGGTTTGTAAAGCCTTAAAATATATATAAATGCTAAAATAAATAGAACATCCCTACTTCGTGAATTTTCACCTATCACAGGGGTGTCTGGAACATAACCCCCGTGATAAGCGAGGGACTACTATAACTCAATCATTTATGCAGGTATCGCGTTAAAAGCCAGGGTGGTAGTAGCTGAGAGTAATCCTCAAAACGTGCTCAAAGATTAAAAGATGACATTGTGTTTAACGTCTTCTACGAGGTTTGACCAAAACGGTACAACTGTCCACTTTCAGCATGAGCAGATTTGTTTAAAGCTAAAGAATGAAAGTCGAGTTAAATGACGAGTTAGTCATGGAGTTCCTCAGGGTTCAGTGCTTGGACCAATACTCTTTACCTTATATATGATTATACAGATTTTCACCTATCGCGGGGGTGTCTGGAACGTAACCCCCGCAATAAGTGAGGGACTACTGTAGATGCATTTTGTGAACTCATATCATATCATCATATCATATCCTAAAATACTGCATTCCTTTCAGATATTTTTTTTCCTTTGTGCCTTTATCCCTCTACGTTGTATTTTTACTTTAGCCCACTAAGTGATGCTCCGCTTTTACATTTGGGAGACACTGTTAAAACCACAGACAGAGGACGGGAATTTACTCCGGAGGTAAAAATATATAGATGCATTTTGTTAATAAAAAGCTAAAATAGTTTTTTTCCTTTTATACTAAAGGCCTTCAATGAGGTAAAATATATATATATATATATATAAAAAAAAGTAATCTTTTTATTTCAGGCTGAGATAGTTCTAAAAGACGGAGTAGTTTATTGTGGACAAAACTATAACTAAATATAATTTTTAAGCGGTTAGGTATGGTGGTTAATTTTTCCCCTAACAAAACTTATTGTCATAAAGTTAAAAGGACCTTCAGCGAGTTAAAGAATGACAACTGGTGTGGGAGATTAATAAGGAACCACCAGAGATACATATAAAACAAACGTATTGTGTGTGTGTATAATTTTGAAGCCACCAAACGGACTCACCCGTATTTTCTTGGCACGCTGCACGTCCTGTGGCGTGAGATTCGATTGGACGTTCTGTGCCGAGTCCTCCTTCAGCAGATCGGGCTGGTCCGTGATGGTGGACGGTGTTGTGGACTCCAGGAGTTGGTGCTCAGAGGAGACGAGCTCTGCTTCAGGTTCAGCAGCGTCCTCCTCCGTTTCCAGCTCCACGTCTTTCAAACCGTTCTCTGCCCCGTCTAGTCGCTCCTCCAGGGGCTTCTCCGTCAACTCCAACATTTCCTGATAGGAAAAAAAGGAGGTCATTATAGAATGAGTACGTATACAACACGTTATACGCCTGTTGACAAACTCTTATACAGCCCGGATATGCAAAGACTTTGTACACCAGTTGACCTTGGTTTATGACCTTGGAGCTGGTGTGATGAAAAGTGTACACAACACTCCATCCAGTGGTGATTAAAAAGCAATGTGCCAACTTCCATTTTGGTGGAGCTACACCTAGGCGTACGAAAAGTCCCTATCAAAAATTTTGTAGCCAAGTCAAAATCCAAGATGGCCACCGCCATTGTATTTATCTAAACTGCTATACTTTCTAGTTGTTATATTGCTTAAAAGTATAGTTATCTCAAAAGATTGGGTGGCTGAAGATTAATCTTTGAGGGCCAAGGTCACCTTTGGCCACCCCCTGGAACCGCCATTGCAAAATTGCTCCCACCACTTGCCAGGATCTGTTACTCAAAAACGTTCGCTATTTAAATCCCCCAGCTGTCGGGAGACATCTGCGTACAGCTTGTGTTAATTTTGACCTTGATTTGTGACTTTGACCTTAAAGCTGGAGTGATGGAAAGTGTGACACTCCGTGCAGTGATGATGCATACGTGTATGAAGTTTCATTAAATTATCTTGAGCGGATCAGAAGTTGAGGTCCAGACAAGCAAAGACGTATAACTTTGACCTGGATTTTTTGACCTCAGGTGCGTACGGACAGATGAGGACTATACTTTAATACATCTGCTTTTTGTACATCTGTATAAAAAGGATGCACTGATACAGATGTCGGGTATCGTTCTGATACTGTGTGTGTGTAACAGAACCCACACGAAACCAATGTATCATCGGTGCATCCCTAGAAACAAAGAATATCTTCATTCATTTAGCAGGTGTCAAAGCTTTGTATTACGGTCGTCTTGTCTCCGTTGGCGTCTACAGGCGGACCCAGGCGTATGAATTTAGGTGGGCGTCCCGGTCTCCTTCCTGTCCCGAACCTCTTCCTGCCTCTGCCTCTGCCTCGCCCTCTGGACCTGAGAACGGCGTCACAGCGATCGGGTCACACGACCGGGACGAACAGGAAAAACCAACCGGAGACGTGGGAAAACGTTCTCACCTGGTAACGGAGCTCAGCTTGTCGTCGTGCATGTTGAGATGCAGCTGCAGCTGCTCCGAGCTCACGAAGCGGCGGTTGCACTCGTAGCAGGGCCAGTTCCACTCCTGCTCCTGGAGAACTGAACGGACGAGATGGATGTCTGTGACGAGGGAGAGCCGGAGCAGACAGAAACCGTGTTAAAGGAAACCGAACGCTCACCTTTCCTCTCTTCCTCTGTGACATCGTGGATCTTCTGGTTGACGAACTCTGCGTATGACGCTGCGTACCACACCTACAAAACAACGTTTAAAAACAGCTTATTTTAGTTTTAGAGCTACCGCGGGTAGTCGGCGTCATCGTCAACACTAAATTTTCCTCTTCCGACTGAACAGCAGTTTTTCCTCCACACCACTAGGGGGTGCTGCAGATGCCAAGTCCAGTTCTCCGTTTTGTCGGAGTTGCTGTTTCAAAACGCCCTCCGTGGATAAAGCGGCTGCGGCCGCGTCCAGATGGTTGTAAGCGTTTTCAAACGACTGGAACGCTCTGAACTATGGGAGTACTTCAAGCTAATCGATGATAAAAATGTACCGGTAATTTGGAAGTTATTACGAAAACAAAACCACCGGAGTGAAAACATGTCTGCTTCGTTTGCCAGTAAATAAATATAAATAAATAAAAAACGTCTAGACTATAATCTGAGCTCTTGTTCGATTCATTAACTCTGTGCCAAACCAAAAAAGTCCGTGCTCAGTAATCCAGGTATACAATCAAACACTTTTCAGTCGGGTCATCTGGAAAAAAACAAAGAAACTGTCCAGATGACCTGACTGAAAATTGTTGGATTGTATACCTGGATTATTGAGCATGGACTTTTTTGGTTTGAACCAGTCTGACATGACTGTTGATGAGGAAGAGGGCCGGCACCAGAGGAGGGGGTGTGCCAAAGACACTAGCTTAGCACCAAAATAACTGGTTTGTTCCACTTTGGAGTAAGCTGGGGGAAAAAAATCAGTTTTGTGTTGTGCATTTCCTTGAATGATGAAGCCTTCTGGATGGAAGGTGAAACGTTTCAGCAAAAAAAGAAACTGTCCAGATGACCTGACTGAAAATTGTTGTATCTGTGCCAAACTGATGCGTTAAGTTTTGTACCCCTCAGTTAAAGTTAACTCTCCCTCCAGCTTTGTTCCGGTTTCCTCTTAACGTCTGTTGCTTTGAGCAGCTATAAATTTAAATTAATATGCTAAAATAAAATATCTTTGTTGTCCTAACAGGAGAAATGCATCCTGACGGAAGGGCTTAAACAGGCGGGGTACAGATTCCAACACGACACCCGTGTGTTTCAGTATCGTTAAATTAACTGCGTCGATAATGCTGATATTTAAACGTACAACATTTAAATCTAACAAATGATCATATATTACAGTAATAAATACATTTCATCAGCTAAGTTATTTGTCAGTGTTAGAAATATTGAGCTGAAATTTAGTTGGAAAAACCAGTAGACAACCTACAACACGTTGAATACAGTAGTCCCTCGCTACTTCGCGGTTCGACTTTTGTAGACTCGCTCTATCGTGGTTTTTCAAAGTAAGATTGAGCATGAGGGAAAAATAAAAATTTGTACACGACACACGATTGTCAACTTTAATATTACTCACGTGATTGGGACAGTACGGGACACTGTACAGTAAAAAGTTAATGAAAAAAATACTTCGGACAGGCGCCACCATTTTGTAGTTTTCTCTCAATAAGCCAACACTGTATCCCCGCTCATAAGGACTACATTTCCCAGAGGCCAACAGTGCCCAGCCCAGAAGCCTCATTGCCTTCTGCTGAAATACAAAAAGGGAAAATTTTGATCTGATTGGAAAAAGTTTGGCGCTTATTACAGTGACTTTGGCTCCCAGCAGATTCAGAGAGCTGCACGGAACCCACCGGGAACAGAACCAGAACCAGAGCAGAACCGTGTTGGTCAGTAATGATAACTTCTCTTTTGGATCGGAAAAAACTTTATTCTGCCATGCTCAACAGCCAAACACATACCACATAAAAGTAAGACAAGAGTATAAAACCCCATAACATGCGCTACTGGCATGATGGTGCCCCCTAGTGGACTGGCGTGTAATGTAAACAAAACAAAGGAGTAACAACCTGGACCTCCAGAACCATCGCCGAATCCAAGAGCTGGTAGCCGGCTCACGAGGACCTCCGAGCGGGGGAGGCGTCGCTGAAGGTCCGGCTACTCTCTGGAACACACCGGGACTTTTTAAAATCTCTTTATCGGACCACCGGTCCTGCGTCGGCCACAGAACTGGATCAGAACCAAGAGCCACTGCTGTCCTGCCAGCTGGTGAGAACAATTTATAGCTGCATATACGTATGTTGTTAAAATGATGTAAGTTTGAGTTTAGAGCATTGCAAGAGTGTGGGAAGAGTTTATAAAGCCTTAAAATAGATATAAATACTAAAATAAATATAATGCTGCTACTTCGTGGATCTTCACTTATTGTGGGGGTGTTCTGGAACGTAACCTCCAAAATAAACGAGGGACTACTGTATTCAGGTTTTTACTAATGTAAACGATCAGAGCTTTGTTTTTTTTTTAATTTGTGACAGAGTTGGAACTTTAATCCCATCATTTTGTACTTTAACTTGACAGTTTTCTTCAAGGTAAACAGCCGAAGCCGACTGTTGAAAATAAAATTATTGAGATAATATTAGAGCATTTTGTATTTCTGGATGGAGATTAGTCGTTTAATTTAACAGATTAATCATAAAAACTGGTCTACAGGTTAATCCAAATTTAACTGTTTTTAGTAGAAGCCCTTTGTAGTTTATTTTATTGTACATTTAGAAAAATAGAGAATGGATCTATTTTGTCCTGACTTGTTAAAAACTTTTGACAGCAGCTGTTTGTTGCTGAAATAAATAAAGTTACGCCACACAAAAAATTAAATAAAGACATTAAACCCTCCTGCTGCCCTTGGAGTGGGCTCGTGGGTGGTTTTGACCCGAGGGCAGCAGGAGGGTTCAGACTGCAGAACCCAACTCTGGCTGACCTTGAGCTCCTGTTTGGGCTGGATGTGTTTGATGCAGGTGTAAAATATCTCAGAGCCGTACTGGTACGCCACGAGGTTCTGCTCCAGGTGGTTCTGAGCGGGTCTGACGAACATCATCCAGTTGCAGCTGTCCTCGTCAGAAAGGTCCAACCACGTGTCACTCGACTTGTCTTCGTCCTTCTCCGAGTCCAGCGTGCACAGCTGGAAGGTCAAAGAGTGAGAAACGATCATCGACTGCACAAACTGTATTTTCTGCTAAAACATGGCTGAGGGGTTTTAATAAATGCTGAAGAAGCTGAAACTGAGTGGGTAATGCTAAACAGAGCTACTAGCTAAAAGATAAATTAAGCTAAAAGCTATAACTGTTAAAACAATAGTTGTAGCTAAATGGAGCAAAAGGCTGGAAAGAGGTACAAGTAGCTTAAATTGTAGTTAGAAGCCAACAGGAGCAAAAGGCAGGATAAAAGTAGCAACAAAAAGAAGAGTAAATGCTAAAAGTAGCAAAAGTCTAGCCAAGAGTAATGAAAAGGTAGATTAAAGTATCAAAAGGATAGCTAGAAGCTAAAACGAACAAAAGTTAGCTAAAAGCTAAACGTGAGAAAAGCTAGCAGAAGTAACAAAAGGAGAGCTAAAAGAGACAAAAGGCTAGATAAAAATAGCAACACCCCCCAAAAAAAACAAAATGTAACAAGGCAAATTGCTAGCTAAAAGCAGCAAAATAGTGGTTATAAACTAAAAGTATGAAAAGATGAGCTTAAAATATCAAATGTCTAGCTTGAAGCTAAAATGAGCATAAGCTAGCTAAAACAAAAGGATAGCTTAAAGCACAAAAAGGCTACCTAGCAGCAAAAACTTAGCTGAAAGTAGCAAAACGTTAGCTAAAGGAGGCAAAAAGCTAGCTGAAAGGACAAAAAGCTAGCTAAAAGCTAAAAATGAGAAAAGCAAGCAGGAGTAACAAAAGGCTAGCCAAAAGAGACAAAAAGCTAAAAGCAGCAAAATAGTGGTTAAAAACTAAAAGTATCAAAAAGTTAAGCTTTAAAGTATCAAAAGTCCAGCTTGAAGCTAAAATTAGCATAAACTGGCTACCTAAAAGTTAAAAGTAGCAAAAGTAAGCTAAACTTATCAAAAGTCTAGCTAGAAGCTAAACTTAGCTACGGTTGGCTAAAATTAATTAAAGGCCACTAAAAGTTAAAAGCAGCAAAAAGTAAGCTAAACTTAACAAAAGTCTAGCTAGAAGCTAAACTTAGCTACGGTTGGCTAAAATTAATTAAAGGCCACTAAAAGCTAAAAGCAGCGTTTGAAGACGGAGTTGGAGCAGCAGCTGAAGCAGATTACCAATTTCAAAGAGAACGACGACTTAAAATGAAATGAAGAGATTTAATGTTTCTTTGGGGAATAAAACACAAATAAAGTGAAATATTTTGAAAAGTAAAAACTAAAAGTCAAAGCTCCATTTCCTGAATGTTTTTATACGTGAAGGCCTAAACCAGAACAAAGTGTGCAGAAATAGTTAAGACTGCAAAAACAAACTAAAAAATAAACAACGTGGTAAACGCTGACTCAGCACCTGAGATCCTCCAACAGGATCAGGTGGGTCCGTCACTTCAGCCGACTCACCTTCAGGTGGAAGAAGTGGTCCTGCAGAGCGCTCTGAGGAACCAGCGGCGCCTCTATGGGACCGAACTGCGTTCGCTTCGGGATGCGTCTCTTACAGAACACCCCGCCCAGGAAGCGGTCGATGTAGAGGATCTGAGGCAGACTGGCCCGGGCCTTGGACAGAACCGGCCGGTTGGGGATGGGATGCAGAGGACCGTGAAGGGGGCAGTCCGAGGGGTTGGCACAGTTGCACTCCTCGCACCCTGAGACGCCACAACGAGCAGAAAATAAGCTAAAGCCTGAGCTCACCGTTAAATTAAGACTTAAACAAATAAATAAGAAGCTGCGCCGACAGGACGCTTCACCCACAGAGGCAGTGAGGGTCGAACGCCTGAGGCTGCCGCAGATCCCAGTCGTCCAGCTCCGAGTCTTCGTCCTCAGCCTCGTCAGAATCATCGGTGGAGTCCGTGGCTCCGAGCGGACTGGTGGGGGGGTCCGTGATGTCGGCCATGTCTGCGAGAGAGTTGGACGCAGACAGCTGCTCCTACGTGTGAAACAGTTTCTACAGTCAAAACCTAAAACATGGAAATCTCCTCAGAACAATGAAGATGACGGAGCATCTTCATCCTAAAGGTACTCCGTATGATTTCAAACGTTTAAGAGTTTCCTCAAATGGTGAGATCACTACAGTCATTTCAGTAAATATTGAGAGGCAATTCTGAAATGCAGGTACGCGCTCAATGTAAACACTTGGTGGTGGGCACCAGGTTACAAATTATTCTTATTAATTTTAAATTTTAAAAACACAAATGTGACCCACACTTCAAAATAAGTTGTAATGAGCGCAGGCTGCAGTGCAAAAAACATGAAAATATCGATTTTCTTGTCGTTTCCATAACTGAGATTTACGTGAAAACGGGTCCACGAAGGCACCATCTAATGACCCAAGGAACTACAACAGCACACAATCGTCCTAATGTACCTTTAACTTGAAGTTTTATAGAGTTAAACCTTTGATTTTGGAACTGACACCATTTTCTGCCGCCTGCTGTAGCGTGGGAAATCCCTTCCTATAACGTTTGGCTTAATTGTGAAGGTTGAGGAATCCGGTTTGAACATACGGCTGGAATTCCTGATGATGTCGCTCCAAACCAATAAAAACAGTTTTCAAAACTAGCTTGTCGACAGATGAAAAATCACCAATTTCAACAAACTACGGACAAACTACCTCTGCTGTCCATCGAGGATGAAGACGCATATATAACTGGATTTATGATAACAGGTTTCCTGCTTTTTGGAATCGGCCGGTTCCTGGTTATTCAACAAACAAGGAAGTCGTCGGCAGCAAATCCGGCCCTGGTCAAGCTGCCCGCCTTGTGACTTATTTTGCCACGACAAGTCACACTTGATTCTTCAGCCTTCATAACTTTGAGTACTTTTCCCATCGTGACAGACGAGTGCGTCCTCACCTGAGGAACGGGTTCCAGGATGTTCTGAGGAGCATCTGCCACGTTACTGAGAACATGCAGGTTGGCGGCATTCATGTTCTGCCCGCCAGGCAGCAGAACCGTGACCTGCCAATCAGAGCAATTTTTATTTTTTTTAGTAAAAATGGCACAAAGTGAGCTGGAGATGTTTCTGTCAACTTATTATTTTTATATATGAATGTTTCTGTTCAGTGTCCTGAGACGACTTCTGTTGCGACTTGACACGCCAGGTAAAGCCACCTGCTGAGTCGTGACGTCCTGTTGAATGTAGGCCACCTGCGGCTGATCGGCGAACACGGTCTGAAAGAAAAAAAACAGGATTTAGGCTAAAAAATGAAAAAAAAAATTAGATTCAATACAAAATTCTGTCTCCTTTCAAGGATTCAAGACTTGACATCGTCATCGTTTGTGAGTGAAGCCAGAGCTGATGCTTGGCTTGTTATTCGTGATGGTGCGGGACCTCTTCCCTGACTGCAGAGGGACCAGACAGATGGACTAGGATCTCCTCAGAGTCCAAGTCTGAGAGCTCAGCTCCCAATCCTCTGTGCAGTCTTCACCAGGCGAGACAAATGTCCCACTGTCCTGCGCAGTCCTGAAGAGGATGTTTTCTGTTTAGCTGCTGTACAAGTTTGTAAATGGTCTCAGCGTAATATCATCCAAGGGGGGCGGCCCGCCCTGCCATAAAGATCCATCCATCATCTTTACCAGCTTCTTCCTTTTTGGGTCGCGGGGGTCACTGGTGCCCATGTCCAGCAGTCACTGTGCACCCTGGACAGGTCTCCAGTCCATCACAGGGACACAGAGACAAACGAGACAAACAACCATTCTCTCTCTCACTCACACCTAGGGACAATTTAAAGTTATCAATCAGCCTAACATGCATGTTTTTGGTCTGTGGGAGGAAACCGGAGCACCCGGAGAGAACCCACATGCACCAAGAGAACAAGCAAACTCCACCCAGAAAGGCCCTCGGCCAAGATTTGATTCGGCGGTAACTCTACCAACTGAGCCACCGTGCCGCCCGCCATAAAGATCAAGGCATGAAAATGAATAAACGTCTGCACGTGCTTGATCCGTGACACCCCCCCCCCCCCCATCATCACCCCCTCTTCCTGCACCGTGCCTCGACCCCTCCCGTGTCAGATCTATGATGATGTGGGTGCCAAGGAGTCTGGCTGAGTCCACCCTCTCCACCACCACACTGTGGATTAGAGCAGGACTGCGTGGTCTTCTGGTCCTTCAGACGTCAAAAACGACCTCCTTGTTTTGGGTGGTGTTGAGAAGTAGGTCGGTGTCTGCACACCACCCTATCAGATGTTGGACCTCCTGCCTGAAACGCGTCTCATCGTTGTCTGCAATGAGGCCCCCACTACAATGTCACTGACGAACCGTGGCTGTGGTGTTGGAGGAGTGGACGAAGTCAACAAACCACGCTGGTTTCGGTGTGACCGCCTCTGTTCTTACCTGAGCACCGTCTGCAGGGTGGATGTAGACCAGCGTGTGCTCTGCAGACTCCACGGACGTGTACGAGCTTCCATCTGCTGCGTAGACCACCTGCTGCTCAGCCCGGTCCGCCTGGTCTCCGCTGTACACGATCTGGGCCACAGCGCCGCCTTCAAAATGCACCTACAGCAGCCGGAACACGAGACACCAAGTCCTAAAACGTCCGCAACCGAATCAGAACCAGCAACTTTTTACACATTTAACGGATCGGGGTCGACCCGTTCAGGACTCGGTACCTGCGTGGGATTCCCTGAATCGTTGTTGACGGTCTGACTCCAGACAGCGGACGTTTCCTGCTTGGTCTCCATGGCGACACGGCACCAGGCCCGACCACGGCACTTCTCTCCTGAAATGGGCTGATGGAGAAAAACAAAACATGTTTTCATGTTAACATGTTATTAACAGGTTGTATAAAAATAAAACATTATTTTAGTCGAGATCGCTGCGTCTGATGCTGCAAATTAAAATAAAATAGTTTTTTTTTTAAACTATTTACGAAGTCACTCGTATTTATGAACGGGTGACGTCACACGTTTATTTATGCGGGGTCAGCGTTGATTGGTGTTTTCCTGTTTTTGTGCTCGTTCTGTGCCAAAACACATCTGCATACTTTGTGCTATTTCAGCACTTCTAGTATCAAAACGTTCATCAAATCAGCTTTAGCAAGCTGTGACTTTTGGTATTATTTAAGTTTTGTACTTCTTGTATTATATATTTATATTTACAAAATAATTTGGCCAATAAACATGTTGAAATCTCTAAAGTCCTTTTGTGAAATCTACTTCTGCGCACTGCCTACATTTTTGTTGTCTTATGCCTTTTAGCTACTGTCATGCTAAATGTTGCTACTAGCAACTGTTTTGCTACATTTAGCTTTTAGCTGCTGTTTTGAAAACGTGATTCCTGCTACATTTAGCTTTAAAGTACATTTTAGTTATTGATAGGTTTCAGCAATGTTTGTAGGTATTATGTTAAGTCTTTAGCTACCATTTTGCTAATTTAGGCCTTTGCAACAGTATTGCAAATTTTAGCTTTTGCTACAATTTTAGCTAATATTTAGCTAAATGAAAATGTTTGCTGCTGCTTTGCTGATTCTAGCTTTCAGTTTTGCTATGAATGACCTGTAGCTAAGGTTTAGAGCTTTTAGTTATGGTTTAGTTCATTTTAGCTTTTAGCTATTGGTTTGCTAATTTAAGATTTTGCTACTGTTAACTTTAGTTTTCAGCCAGTTTTGCTAAATTTAGTGCTTAGCTACCGTTCTCTTTATTTTGGCTTTTTGCTACAAGTTAGCTAAATTTATTTTTTTGCTGCTCTGTTTATTTTAGCTTTTGGCTATGGTTTTGTTACTGGTAACCCTAAGCTACTGTTTAACTAATTTGAGCTTTTAACTAAGAATTGGCTAGTTTTAGCTTCATTTTCTAACCTTTAATTTTTGCTAGTTTTGCTCATTTTAGATTTTTTTCTACAGTTTGACTTTAGCATTCACCCACAGTTTTGTTAGTGTTAGCTTTTAGCTACAGTTTTATTGTTGGTTTTTAGCAACTGTTATGCTAAATTGTTTTTAGCTACTGTTTAGCTACTGTATGTTAAGCTTTTAATTAATGTTTTTGCTTATTTTAGCTTGCAGCTACAGTTTTACTAATTAAAGCATTTTGTTAATTTTTGCCGTTTTGTTGCAGCTTCTAATTTTATTTTTAAGACGCTGATTTACTTCATTTCGTTTATTTTAGCCTTTAGCTATAGTTTAGTTAATTTGAGCTTTTAGCTATTCTATAATTACAGTTTTCAGCTACTCTCTCATGCTAATTTTAGTTTCTGTTGCTGCTTTGACTCAAAAAATTCAGTTAATAATTTAAATGTTACGAGTTTCATCAAAACTATTCAGCTGCCAGGCTGCATTTTAACAGAAAATGATTACCGGTATTTATTTTTTCTACTGATTATTGATACATTTGTTCAGTTTATTACAGTTTCTAATCTGGACCTACAGGCACTGGTCATAAAATTAGAATATCATGAAAAAGTTGATTTATTTCAGCAATTCCATTCAAAACGTGAAACTTGTATATTATATTCATTCATTACACACAGACTGATATAATTCAAATGTTTATTTCTTTTAAAGTTGATGATTATAACTGACAACTAATGAAAACCCCAAATTCATTATCTCAGAAAATTAGAATATTGTGAAAAGGTTCAATATTAAAGAGACCTGGTGCCACACTCTAATCAGCTGATTAACTCAAAACACTTGTAAAGGCCTTTAAATGGTCTCAGTCTAGTTCTGTAGCTACACAAACATGGGGAAGACTGCTGACTTGACAGTTGTCCAAAAGACGACCATTGACACCTTGCACAAGGAGGGCAAGACACAAAAGGTCATTGCTAAAGAGGCTGGCTGTTCACAGAGCTCTGTGTCCAAGCACGTTAATTGAACGGCAAAGGGAAGGGAACGATGTGCTAGGGAAAAGTGTACAAGCAATAGGGATAACAGCACCCTGGAGAGGATGGTGAAGCAAAACCCATTCCAAAAATGTGGGGGAGATTCACAAAGAGTGGACTGCAGCTGGAGTCAGTGCTTCAAGAACCACCACGCATAGATGTATGCAAGACATGGGTTTCAGCTGTCGCATTCCTTGTGTCAAGCCACTCTTGAACAAGAGACCGCATCTGAAGCGTCTCGCCTGGGTCTGCTGCTGAGTGGTCCAAAGTTATGTTCTCTGATGAAAGTGCATTTTGTATTTCCTTTGGAAATCAAGGTCCCAGAGTCTGGAGGAAGAGAGGAGAGGCACAGAATCCACGTTGCTTCAGGTCCAGTGTCAAGTTTCCACAGTCAGTGATGGTTTGGGGTGCCATGTCATCTGCTGGTGTTGGTCCACTGTGTTTTCTGAGGTCCAAGATCAACGCAGCCGTCTACCAGGAAGTTTTAGAGCACTTCCTGCTTCCTGCTGCTGAACGACTTTATGGAGATGCAGATTTCATTTTCCAACAGGACTTGGCACCTGCACACAGTGCCAAAGCTACCAGTACCTGGTTTAAGGACCATGGTATCCCTGCTCTTAATTAGTCAGCAAACCCACCTGACCTTTACCCCCAAAAAAAATCTACAAGGTTTTGTAAAGAGGAAGATGTGATGCACCAGACCCAACAATTCAGAAGAGCTGAAGGCCACTGTCAGAACACCTGAGCAGAGCCACAGACTGATGGACTCCGTGCCACGCCGCATTGATCCAGACAAAAGGAGCAACAACTAAAGTATAGACGCTGCACATGATCAAACTTTTCATGCTCATACTTTTCAGGTGGCCAACATTTCTAAAAATCCCTTTTTTTAGTGGTCTTAAGTAATACTTTAATTTTCTGAGATAATGAACATGGTGTTTTCATTAGTGGTCAGTTATAATCATCAACATTAAAAGAAATAAACATTTGAAATAGATCAGTCTGTGTGAAATGAATGAATATACAAGTTTCACTTTTTGAATGGAATTACTGAAATAAAATAAACTTTTTCATGATATTCCAATGTTATGAGCAGCACGTGTATAATCTGACAGCACAGGTTCGGTTCGGGGGGGCTGACGGTGCTGCAGCCACAATAAACCAGCGTGTGTCGGTTCGAGCCCAAAGCCGACAAACGTCGCTCTCTGGCGGGGTAAAGACCAGAGGGCGAGCCGGTCCGACCAGGAGGCCGCCCGGAAAACAGTGACCGGACCCGGCACGCTGCCTCTCACACCGAACAATCCCGGATCTGCGAGTCCAGTTTGCATCATCCACACAAACGTGATCTCCCCCCATTTTAACCCCGCAGGTTCTCCGTCCCAACCGGACCATACCACAGAAACCAGCGCGGCGGGAACGCGCGCATTTGCGGCTCCGCGACGTGAGCGACACGGCGGAGCTGACCCAAAGTCAGGCCGCACATTCGGACTAACTCAACTTGTCGGACCGGAGGAGACGGGACACGGTCCGGGTTTAGCCACAGAACCGATTTTGAAGTCCGCCGGGGCCGAATTATTTGCGTCGACTCACCCGTCCCCCATTTCTAGTTGAGCCCAGCCCTTCGAGTCTGCCGTGAACAAGGAAGAACGGGCTCCATTTTGGGTGGGACTAACAACAACAGCTACGTCCAACACGGAAAATAATCACATTTTCAGCCGGCGTATGCGCTCTAAAACAACCCGTTAATTTAATTTACGCGAACAGAAAGAGTCGGGTACAATTAAAATACAGACCTGATTACTATTCAATCTTCTGCATTCTTTCAATTTGTGGAAAACGTCCAGGTCGTTCTTACCTCAGAATGGTAGCTGCAGAGATGGCTGCGTTGCATATATTAACATAATCTGCCTAGCAACACGCAAGAGCGTGGCTTCTGATTGGTCGACGCGAGCTTTGGCGAAAAGGCCTTTCTGTGCTGTTTTAAAGCGTTATTTTATCAAATCCTAAAAAATATATATATTGGATTTTACATTATGTTATTGTTACTGTTCATGTTTCTTAAAATTATACATCAGTATTTTTTATTTAATTTTCAAAATGATGGCCAATCAGAAAATTTAGATTTTGAAGTTGTCCAATAGGGTTTATAGAAACTTATTGTTCAAGCATTCTCAATAATCCAGGTAGAAAAATCAAAGTTAAACCAGATTCTTCTTTGATGAAACGTTTCATCCTTTGTCCAAAACACTGAAGCACAACAATAAACTTATAAATAGCACCTTCAATGGATCAACCAGTTTGCTGCTGACATCCAGAACTATCTGAATCAAAGCAAATGTGTGCTTGTTTTTAGTATTTTACCTTGTTTTACAGCACTCCCATGTATTGTTTTATACCACTACTTTTATTTTAACTGCATTTTTACTGTAATTTATTGTTATTTTTCAAGGTCAAGGTGTTTTTATTGCCATTCACATCACATGTGGTACGTGAGGTGGAACGAAACTACGTACACAGGGTCCCAGTTACATCCAGCAAAAATACAAATTGTAAAGAAAAACAGTAATAAGATCTAAGATGTGAACTAAGAAATACACTAAACTAAGTATATACTAAGCACTGATAGTACAAAACAATGCGCCAAACATCAGCAGCACGAACATGAGTCTGTGTGAGCAGATGAGGACGAATGAACACAGCAGCATGAAATAATCAGCAGCATGAGATCAGCAGCACATATCAAGTTGCATTGCACTGTAATGACAAGTGTAATGATTACAGTGATTTCTTTCACAGTAATTTGCACAGTGATAATCCTAACTAAGGATTCACGAGTAACAACCTCAGGGTAGAAGCTGTTCCTCAGTCTAGTGGTTCTACACTTAATGCTCCTCAACCTCCTTCCTGAGGGGAGCGGGGCAAAAAGTGTGTGTGCTGGATGAGTGGGGTCCTTCATGATGCAGGTGGCCCTCTTCCTGCATCTGGAGGTGTAAATGTCTGTGATGGTGGGGAGGCTGACTCCAGCAAACTACTGGTTGATCCATCATGAGAAGGTGCCATGAGACTGAGTTTAGCGAAGCTCCTCAGACTGAAGAAGTCTTTTGGATAAAAGATGAAACATTTCATCCATCCATCCATTATCTTTACCCGTTTATTCCATTTTGGGTCACGGGGGTCGCTGGTGCCCATGTCCAGCAATCACTGTGCGAGGGGCGGGGTACACCCTGGACGGGTCGCAAGTCCATCACAGGGCCACATAGAGACAAACGAGACAAACAACCATTCACTCTCTCACTCACACCTGGGAACAATTTAGAGTTACCAATCAGCCTAACATGCATGTTTTTGGTCTGTGGGAGGAAACCGGAGCACCCGGAGAAAACCCACGCATGCACGGAGAGAACATGCAAACTCCACCCAGAAAGGCCTCTGGACCGGGGTTTGAACCAGGGACCTGCTCGCTGAGAGGCAGCAGCTCTACCAGTTGCGCCACCGTGCTGCCCACGAAACATTTCAACAACAAAAATATATAAATCCGCCCAGATGACCTGAATTAACTTTGTTAAAGGTTGAATCGGTTTGTTTTTCAGTGACATTTCACCACAAAGTACTTTCTGCATATCCTTTTAAATATTGTACTTTTCTTGAATATATATATATATATAAAAAATTTTTACATGAAAAGATAAATATACTCCTAAAGGGTTCCCCCTATAGAAGTCAGCAAGTGTAGTGTAAACACTGTTTTTGCGTGTTTTTAAGAAAAATAAAAGCATCAAGTAATAAATGAAGCAAACAGTTTATTTATTAATCCGTTACTAAATATATCAGAGAAAAGATTCAGACCTTTTGTCCATTTTCAACAATTTCTGAAGCAGATTTTACTTTTAAATGGAGGAACTCCTGCTTTTCCTTTTAGCTGATTCTAAATGTTGCAAGAAAGGATGACAAAGTAGAAACGTTAAAATATATATATTTTTAATGTGTGAGACGCTGGGGATTAAAATTATAAAAGCATTCTGAAAGCTTTGCTGCTGGTGCAACATTGAATTACTACAATTGCTCCTGAAGTTTGAGTGAAAAACTGAGTAAAATAAACGTATTATATGTAAAGGATTTAAAAAAATACCTTAATGCTCTTAAGAAAGCAGATGGAGATCAACCCTCAAGTCCATTGCTCATATTTCTTTACTGAAAATGTTTTTCCTTAAATCTCTTTTGTGGAAGAAAGTGGAGATTTTAATTTACAGATAAAGTGAAACACTTTAATCTACCAAAAGAGTTTATTTATTATTTAGATGCTTAAGGATCAAATTCACATTTCCTAAATGCATTACATCACGAACATAAAAACAAAAGTTATTTTTATCCTTTAGATTCACTTAAAAACAAAAAGAAACATGCTGTATCCCTCGAGAAATTTGTAATTTTAGCTTCACAGAATGGTCAACCATACAGATTATTTTTCATAAATACTGGTAGTTTATTTTCATTTCCTAATCCATAATCCCCAATCTCAGGACTGTTCATCCATAAAATGTCCGTTTCACTTTCCAAAATATGGAAGTTTGTCAGTTTGTGCTAGGGGTATGACAATCTGACAAAGTATCACTTACCGACAGATACAGCTATCAGTTTGTGCTACCGATATGACAATCTGACAAAGTATCACTGACCAACAGATATAGCTATCAGTTTGCGCTACCGGTATGACAATCTGACAAA